ATGGCATGAGATAAAATTGATAAAATTGATAATGACTTGATAATTTCAAATTAAAAGTATGTAATTTTCTTGTGTCTCTTTTACAGATACGCACATACACGAAATCAGGCGCATGGGCGCACGCGCGCGAACGCACGCGAACGCACACATGCATGCACTATGAAATAAAATCAACCTTGCACCAATGAAAAGTGCATTTATAACAGAAAAATCGAGAAGTAAAAACAGTCAGTAGACAAGTGTGATTCCTGGGTGATCCGTCTAGGAAAATCTGGAGTCGGGATGCTGAAAGTAACATTAATCAGCTAAGTGACAATCTTGTATTAATTCTCTCAGTTTCACTCTCTCTCTCTCTCTCTCTCTATATATATATATATATATATATATATATATATATATATATATATATATAAAGAATGCTACTAGTACACAGGAGGTTACAGGGACTGATAGTGAGGGAAAAGACTGAGAGGATTGAGGAAAGGACAAAATATATATAATTTTTAAAAAATTATGGAAATTTTCTTGATTGTAAAACTAATATAGTAAAGCTAACATTGTAACTATTTATTCATTGTAATTTTTATCCTGTAAGACTTTTATATTTGGTTTTGGATTCGGAGAAAAGAAATAAGAGAAAAGATTGACGGACTTCAACATTGAATGATTAACAGCAAGGGTCGAGGCATCGATCAATCAATTAAATCATTTCAGTTTGGTTTTTGTAAGAGCTTCGTATTAATGTTTTTATTAGTTGTTGTTGTTACCGGAACTTTTTCCCAAAACTCTGCCAAAGTTTAACACTTTCCGTAAATTCGGCACTCGTTGTCAATCAACGTTTCTATTCAATTTTAAAACGTGTTTCATTTTGACGAAGACGACGAAGTGATACTTCATGATGGCTGAGATCTTTACTTGTGAAATTACAATATTTCTTCTTCTTTTTTTTTTTTGCTTTTTTTTTTTTGCTTTCTGAAGCAGACGTTATTCAATATTTTTCTTAAAAAAGAGGCAACATGTTTTTTTAAAATAATTTACAATTTCAAAGCAAAGGACACGATCTCTCGAACTAACGGCGGTTATTTTCATACAAATGTCCAGGTTGCTCGGAGCTAGTCGTGTTTTGAATCTTAACACAGGCTCCGAAAGATTAGACAAAAATGCTTGTTGGGTTAAATCAATCTGGATTTCAACATTATCTTTATAAAAAAAAATGACAGTATCAACATCAAATATCATCGTCAACAGCATGGTAGTTGTTTTTGATGCAAGCGTTGTTATTCTAAGACTTGATTTTAATGGCGTGAAAAGAATCGTGAGTATTAAATAAAAGAGAAAGTCATAACGAAGAGACGAAAGAAATAGTTCAAAATAAACCAACAATAATTTACCCATTTTACGCTTCGGTTGAACAATATCGGAAGAACAAAATTGTCTAACTGTTGCGTTTATAAATGAATATACTGTTGTCATTGACATCTCGGCAAACAATCGAAGAATGAATATATGAAGATGATAAAGTACAGGAAAAATTTTATTAATAAAAGCTAAAAGCAAAAAAGAAAGAGATGAAAGTTTGAAAACGAACAAATTAAAATGTTATTAATAAAAATAGTAATGATAATAACAATAAGGACAAAGAACATGAAAAATAGACAAAAAATAAATAAAAATAAATTGATGAATAAGTATTGAACCTACAGCAACAAATTCATTCTTGAAATGGAAAATGATTAAAAAAAAAACGCTTTAAAAAGCCAACGAAGCTGAGCAAACGCTCTGTTATTACTGACGTCACAGCAGATCGTCGGCCATTTTAACGTTCGCCACTCGCAGCGAAACAATGATGACAGGAAAGCACATAAAATTAATAGACACCAAAATCAAGAAAACTTGATTGCAAAGTGTTAGACTCGGCTTTGATCTGAGAAGCGCATTTCGCTTTCGGTTCTTTTGTTACATTATTTTTGATTGAAAGGTCTTTTGATTTCTATATTTCTTTTCTTCATTTCATCGCCATCTTTGCGGTATTTTTTAAAGTCATTCTTATTTCCTTGCATGCCTGTTTGTATCTCGAAGATAATGTAGATGCTATAAGCAAGAGATTCTACAACCTAGGGGATAAATTCTTTATTCGTTTGGCTTTAACATCGATTTTCCATGTAGCTGTTAAAGAACCTCGATATATCATACATTAAGAGCATCAGCTTCTAAATACAAATGTCAACTCTAACTCCACAGCTAAATTCTCAAGAGATTTTAACCATTCCTTAAAATATTAGAGCCGATAGGAAACTGCGTTCAAGTTCACTTCCCCGTTGACTATATTTCGGTGTATTTTTTTTCATTCTTGTTTGCCGAAGATCGTCTTTTTTTTTACATTCTTGTAAATCATTCTAGCGTTTCATAATGTTTCTTTTGACATCTTAAGAAAATGTATGTTTATTATGCATGCTTTCCATGAAATATGTGTTTACTATATGTGATTGCATTGAAATTAGGCTGAAAACTGTGTACCCTTAGGGTCAAACTATACTCAAGGCTAGAAGGCTCTGCCTATCATGATATTTAACCCATATTTAGTGGGGAGAAGAAGAGAAGGGTTCATGCCTTTTCCAATGTCATTTATGCGAAAGTGAACGCAATAAACTAGACCTAAATTTGAACTCGGCTCAACGAGACCACATTTCGCCCTGAAATCCGTTACACTAGTAGCGCAATAAAGTAATTTACTCTCGTCTTTTTATTAAATAATTATTGAATAAATAGCACAAAAAAGAATAGAAATATTGTGAGAAACATTGCGAACTAAGAATGCCTTTCGGGATAATAAAACTAATCATTGACTTGTGGTAGGTGTTTTATGCAATATAATATCGATAATATTGGGTGGGGGGTACAGGCTGAAAAGTCGGTTAAGAATCCACAAAGTTTTGCCGTCTATGATAATGATAGTAGAATTAAAGTAGAAGCCTAAATATTCAACAAAATAACTGAAACTGATATTATCACTCAACATATGAATCATTTAAGTCTATAAGCCGATGCCAACAAAAATTAACGCTTTCACGACAAAACTGGCCAGCATATATAAGTCGAAGCAACATATAACACACATGGACTGAAGATTGCGTACAAGTATGTAACTGACCGCAAATATGCATATATATATATATATATATATATATATATATGTGTGTGTGTGTGTGTGTGTGTGTGTGCGTGTGTGTTGGGGTGATGAAGATGACTACCAATTCATTGTCGATTATGAACATCATAATATATCATCATATTATCATCATTGTAAATGTTGTTAATGTTATTTTATATAAGCAGAGCATTACATCATATTTGTATCTATAATAAAATGTCAAAAACCTTATAACTCCACCTTTCCTTTTTTTTTCGTAAAAGAGGTTTGTATGTAATTCTAAATAAATCGTTCACTCGCGAGTAATTTTCAATTGCCTAATAAAATGCATGAGAGTTGCTGTTTATAGAGGTCTCATGAAATAAAAATTATTACTTATCAGATTTTAAGTGTTTGATATTCTTTAATTAATAATAATTTTGCTCTGTCTTTTGACATAGAACTCTACCTGGATCTATATCCTCCTGAAATTCCATACGGATTATTACCATATTATTGTATCATTACCATATATATATATATATATATATATATATATATATATATATATATATATATATATATATGCGCTCTCCCCAGAAAGTGTAATTAAGTTTCGCTCAGCTTATTTGCAGTATAAACCACAGGTTACCTCTATGTGGGTTAAGCATACACAAATATGACTGAACTGACATCTGCAACAAAGATAAGCTATCCGTCCTGGAGTATTCGGAAAAATAGCCGGCTATCATACGTGTATATATATATATATATATATATAGATATATATATATATATACATACATACATACATATATATATATATTAAGAAATGGACAAGGTCCGACAATTTATTTATTAAAGACATATTTTATGTTTAACGTTGTTATTTTATAAATACAAGTATTTAAGCAAATGCTCTGTTTATGATAAATTTATTTATTTAATACTGTTTATCATAAACAGAGCATTTGCTTAAATACTTGTATCTATAAAATAACAACGTTAAACATAAAATATGTCTTTAATATATATATATATATATATATATATATATATATATATATATATATATATATATATAAAAAGTAGACATTGAAATCAACACTCAGAGGACACAATCGTCATTCAATGACAAGTGCGTTGAAGATGATTGCGTTTAATAGACTGTGGCCTCTGGGTGTTAAGTTCAATGTCCACTTTTATATTTACATACGCTCTATCTCTGATATTGAGCACTCTAACCCCTAAATATAACATACTATATATATATATATATATATATATATATATATATATATATATATATATATATGTGGGGGGTGCATTGTAATCAGGTCTGCCCCATCACAGATTCAAGATGTAAAAATTGACTTTGTTTCCGTTCAGCACATTTGTATTAACATTTGCTCTAACTCCGATACTGCGCCCTCTTGTTCTCTAAATATAGTCAATTTAATCGAATATCCATTTTAAACAATATTAATTTTAAACACTATCAAATTTGAACAATATCAGTTCTAAACTTTATCAATTTTAGACATCATTTCATACAATATTATTTTAAATGATATCAATTCTAAACGATATAAATTTTAAACAATATCAATTTTAAACAATATCAACTTTAACAAATATCATTTTTAAACAATATCTAGGCTAACAGTTCAGTCTAGTCAAAGACATACAAAAAAACCTATTCTAAAGACTTTATATATGTTAGGCGTGTATGTACTTAGATATAATTGTTATAGAGAAGTTGTAGTGTAAGGTGATGGTTATACCAAGTAATTACCTGTCTAGACAGGTGCGTGGCAGGTAAAGTTGGGACGTGTCTGTGGATGGTTAAATAAAAGATAGAGGAAGCGAATCAGAGGCAAAACAACTTAAGGTTTATGAGAGAGACGCATTGATTGAAAGAAGATGAAAAAAAAAGAACGACAAAAATGAAAGAAAGAACTATCGAATGACATATTGATGAAAGAAAAAAAGAAAACAGAGCGAATAGAAAAAAAAATGATTTGAGAGAGCGGGAAAAGAGAAAAGAGGTGAGAAAGCGGTTGTAAGGAAGAAAGAGAAAAGAAGGTCTAGAGAGCAAGAAAGAAAGGGAAAGGAATAGAAAAAGACGGAGAAAGAGAGATCGAAAGTAAGATGTGAGAGAGATGATGGAAAAATGATGGAAACTGAAAGAGTTCAGGAATGAATTAAAAAACGAAAAGTAGGGGAAAAGAGAAAAGGAAATCCAAAAATGAGATCAGGAGGAAGAAAAAGGTTAGAGAGAATGATAGAAAGAGAGTAAAAAGAGAGTGAGAAATAGCGAAACGGAAGGAGAGACAAAATGAATGAGAGAAAGAAAGGAAAAAGAAAAATCAAATGTTGAAAGAGAAAAATGTGAAAGAGAAGCGAATGATTAGAGAAAGAATGTGATTCAAGAATTGAAAGTGAAAAAAAGAATAGACAGAAAACAGAAAAAGAGATAATAATAATAATAATAATAATAATAATAATAATAATAATAATAATAATATGAAATCCAAGGAAGTAAAAACGATTAATATTCCGAAAATACAAAGATAAAACGAAATGACTAAAACCTGTTTTGATATTTTTCTTTATGGCGTGTGACCAATAAAAACGATTTAGGCCCATTGCTCAGCTGATATTTGATTAACTATTATTATCGACTCGGAGATGGAATAGACATGATGAGGTGATATTTATTTATAACTCGTTAAATGTGAAATTAGATTCAGTCTTTATACAAGCACGCAAGACATATTTCAATCAAGATTTTTGAATGATTGAAGCTGAAAAATCAAAATATTTCCCCAAAAGAAAACAACAGATTAAATACTTATCAGTTTAGAACGGCTTTAAATTTCAGGCCACCGTAGTTATTTGTACATAATACGCAGTCATGTATAATATGTAAAGCTAATTTCTGGATACAAAATTCTGGAAAAAATATTTCGTGTATAATACGCATTGAACTTTTAAAACAAGAGTACTTATTATGCACAACAAGCGTGAAATTATTGGATATCCCGTGAGGGTCGAACTCACTATTCAGTCGATTTAGTGGAACAAGCTTGCTAACATTACACCACGTCGATTATCATTTCCATTGTTAATAAATATTGGCAATAGATCCTTTGAAAATAAAAAAAAGGAAATCTGTTATATATGAAAGGGTACTGAAAAGTTATCGACCCAGTTAAAAATTCCTTTAAAAATATGATATTTGGTCATTTCATGAGATTTTGTAATGTTTTCAACAAGGAAACTCTGGATCAAACTAAAAAATAGAAAAAAAAGTGCCAAGAAATATCTGAAGAGAATCTAAAAATCGTTTGTGCGAATGTGACGGATGCTCCTTAAATCATGAGACTACAGACAACAGTCCCAAATACCATATCAAAGGGAATGGGAAAAGCATTCTTATTTATGTACCATGTACCCTCAAGACATGGGCGATCATGGCTCTCCACAATTTCTTGTCCCTTGTAGCTCTTAATAAACTTTGTTTATCTGTAATTTCTCTTAAGTCCTGTTCCGCCATCCATTTACTCAAGCTTACCAAGTATGGCATGCATTTTTTCCCTCTGTCTGTCTTGACCTCTATCTGTCCCGTGAGTATGAATTTTTCCAAGCCCTCTTTCCTCATTATATGCCCAAGAAACCTCAACTGCCTCTTTCTGATGTTAAGAAATTGAAATTGAAATTATAGCAACCAAGACGGTGACACGTGGCCGAACAATTCTGTTTATAATAATAATTTCTTGTTATATATATTGCTATTAAGACCAGTATGCTCATCTTGGTTTTTTACTCACTGCGTTTCGACCATTGTATTCTCTGGCATTCTTCAGGTGTCTGTTACTGTACTCGATAATCTAATTATTTTAGATATTAGTCTCCTTTTTGTTTCAATTTTACAAAACTTCGTCGTTACTTACATGTTCGGTCGCCGGTATCCTCAGCATCCTTCTGTAGAACCTCTTCGTTATGTTTGAGGAGATCGTCCAGCACTCACTGCCATACAAGGGGACAGATATCACATAGCAGTTTAGTAGTCTTTTCCTTGTTTCTAGCGAAATCTTTGTACTCTGCTTAGCTTTTGGAATGCTTCCATGGCTATCCCAATACGCCTACGGATTTCAGTGTAAAAACATTTCGGTCTTCTGTTAAAACACTTCACAGATATTTAAATTTCCACACTTTTTGATTTTGGTACCTCCGATTTGCAATTCGCACTTTGGGTTCATCCTTTTGCTATGAACAATGCATTCTGTTGATGTTTAATCCTTTCTTCTCGCTTTCCTTCACTCCTTTCTATAAGAGTTTTTGTACTTTCCTTTCTGTGTCTGCTATTAATGCTGTGTCAGCTTTATATATTATATTGTTAATATTGTGGCTAATGAATCCTGGTTGGACTTCTACTTCTCACAGAACTATTTTTTAGATCACAGCACAATTGAAGTTGACAATGATTTTAAAAATGAGTTTTGGCAAAGAAACACAGGTAATTTGATGCCCTTTGGATCAAACGATTATACGATGCTTTTTATTCATAATTATATTAAAGGATAATGGTACATTACAATTGTTTGTATGTAACTCTTGACTTTATGTTGCCATATTCAAAGAATGTTTTACTATTTTTGTTACCCGTGTAACAGATTTGCCAGGAAGATAGATTCCAAATATATTGTGTAGATAACGCCTAAACTAATTGGGCTACGCACTCCAGCAATTAGAATGGGAACAAATCTATAATTATACTGCTGTATCCTACAGGATGCCAGAAAATGAAAATGGTTGGCTAATTCAGTTTGAAAAATTTCTGAGCCTATATTTTCATGATCCTATCTTATATTTATACATTTATATATATATATATATATATATATATATATATTATGAAATAGACTAAGTCCATCAATTATTTTAACATATATTCTGTTTATACGTTATTTTTATACATACAAATATTTCAGTAAATGCTCTGTTCATAATAAACTGTATTAACATTTACCAGCCTGATTTTCTAAGAAATCTCCGACACAGATATGAGCGTTCGAGAGAAATCATGGGAACTTTGTTGTTTAAAAACAGTAATTTAACATTGCTAAACAGACGGTTCCTCTGTAGTTAAATGGTATAGCACGTCAGGCTATAGTGACGGTTCTGTGTAAGATACAGATTCGATTTCTGTCGAAGGACACATATTTTCTGTGAGACATTTAGGACGGTAAATGTTGTTAATGCTATTTATTATAAACAGAGCATATACTTAAATATGTGTATCTATAAAAATAACGTATAAACAGAATATATATATATATATATATATATATATATATTTCAATAAATGTGCAATCAATTTACAAATTCATGAATTATTCATACAAAAAACAAATACAAAGGTTAATGATTTAATTGGCGAGAAATCCATCGTCGCGAACAATTCAAATAATATACAAAAACCCCGAATCTGTTTATGAATGAAAAGATCCTTGTTTCTATAAATTCCTGTTGCATGAGTTCTTATTATTTTTACAAGCTTTATAATAATACAAATAATAACTCATTTCTAATAGCATTTTTTGGATTACAACAGTACATATATTTTCGTTGTCCTCTTAATACTGAGAGAAAAAACAAGAACAAAATCTATTCCATACCTGAGGATGTCTGTATGAACAGACGAAAGCTTGTAAAAATAATAAGAACTCATGCAACAGGAATTTATAGAAACAAGGATCTTTTCATTCATAAACAGATTCGGGGTTTTTGTATATTATTTGAATTGTTCGCGACGATGGATTTCTCGCCAATTAAATCATTAACCTTTGTATTTGTTTTTTGTACGAATAATTCATGAATATATATATATATATATATATATATATATATATACAAGTCTATGTTTTTAAGATCTTATCATAAAATTATTTTTGGGAGGGTATGTTTTCTACTACAAACACTTTCTTTTTTTATCTTAAACACAAATCTCTTAAGTTCTTTTTTTCTATTTCCGCTTCCGCTTGACCTTATTATCTGAAATGAGACCTTTAACTTTTTTCTGTATATAAGACATATAAACATATTTTTTCAGGAAAAATGAGATCAATTTACAGTTGAGCTGGCTAGATATAGCTCTAGGTTGTATGCTAACAGTTTCGCTTCTCGTACTTCTTCCTTGCGGAACTCCCTTCCAGCTCCATACTTTCCAGCCAACTTTAATCTGCAAAAATTTAAATGTACTGTTAATTGCTATTTACTGTTCTCCCAATTACTCTTTTCTCTTCCCGCTCATTATTAATGTTTCTATTCTTAATTCTTCAATACCCAATAATCTCCTGGGTCTTGGTGGATTTACTTTTACTACCTTGCATGGCGTGATATATATATATATATATATATATATATACAGTAAAATGAAGTTTTGCAAGACAGTAAAGAATTTAAGTAAATGGTACAAAAATGACATTGTCCTTGATTGTGGCCAAGAGAACAAATGCTAAGTTTTCAGTCCCACAAAAATGTTGTGGGGTTGATTTTCCCCATCAACCCTTATAATGGTCTGGTGAGTCTTAACTGACATGACTGATCTCCCTTAACCATGGAAAGCGGAGTGAGAACAAAACTTTGTTTATTGAATACAATATTTCATTCCAAATTCCGCAAAGATTATCGAGTACAGTAACAGAAACCTGAAGAATGCCAGAGAATACAATGGTCGAAACGCAGTGAGTAAAAAACCAAGATGAGCATGCTGGTCTTAATAGCAATATATATAACAAGAAATTATTATTATAAACAGAATTGTTCGGCCACGTGTCCCCGTCTTGGTTGCTATCTTTACAATGTTTCGGCCTCAATACCCACGGGCCTTCTTCAGGTGTTGTTTGTAGTTGGTATTCTTCTGGAAATTTCCGGTCGTATTTATTCAATTCACAGAATAGAGTTTTCTAATTCAGCCATCCATGTTGAAGGAAATTTCGTATCAATGAATTCTTTATAGTTGATTTGTCCTTTTGATGTCGATTGTCCCTTCAACGGAACCAGGATAGATAATGTTTTTTCCACGAGTCGACCCAAGGATAAAATTCAGATCCACCAAGTAGTTTGATTCACTTCACCAAAGCTTTTATGTAATAGTTCATATATTCCTTAGAACAGTCTGGTGGGAAAAGAGTTTTAACATTAATGTTGCTTATCAACCTCTTCACCTGAACGAGAACATAAATGTAGTTTAAACATTTATTTTTAAAAACACTAGATTGTTGATTCCAAACGTTATTAATATTGCTAACACATTATTACACGTTGGTGTCACATGACTTGGTAAATTATGTTAAACTGCAACTGGTTAAGTTTTAAAAAATAACGACACCTGCAAAAATAATGATACAATCAGGTTCTCAAAAGACATTTTCATTTGTTTGTTTGTTTAGCGGCATGTCAATTCATTATGGCTCATTTAATACCGAAATTTAATTTTCTTGTGGGCATTAGTCATTTCTTTAACAAAAATGTATTGTTGGTGATTTTTTTTCAAAATATGCTTTGTTGCTAATTTTTAATTAATTTATTTTTTATGTATTTCTACTATTTTTTTTTACTATATTATGTATTGCTGGTAT